GAGTATTATAGCCATAACACATTATCTCACAGTTGTAGCACATTATCTCACAGTCAAAGCACATTATCTCAATCCTAGCACATTATCTTACTAGCACAGTATCCTACAGTTTTAGCTCAGTATCCAATTAGGACAGTATCTCACTGGCGCAGTATCCTACGATCTTAAGAGAGCATCTCAAATTCCTAAAACAATATTTCACTAGCAAAGTGCCCTCAGTCAAAGCACACTATCCTCACTACTAGAATATCTCAACCCTAGCTCAGTATTTCATTAGCTCACAGTCCTAGCGTAGTCTATCACAGTCCTAGTACACTATTTCACAGTGCAAGCACAGCATCCACACTACAACAATATCTCAGTACCAGCATAGTATCCCTCAGTCCTAAAACAGCAGCCCGCATTCCTATCAAATATTCTAACAATCCTATCACATTTTCTCACAGTTTTGTCACATTTGTTACAGTCCTAACACATTATTTCCCAATTCTAGCACAGTATCTCACAGTTATTTCACATTTTCTCACAATCCTATCACATTGTTTTATACTCTTATTACGTTTTCTTAGTCCTATCACATTCTTTCACAGTCCTAGCACATTATGTCACAGTCCTAGCACATTATCTCACAGTCATATCAAATTCTCTTACAGTCTGAGCCCATTTCCTCACAGTCCTAGCACATTTTCTCACAGTCCTAGCACATTTTTTCACAGTCCTAGGACATTTTCTTACAGTCCTAGCACATTTTCCCAGTCATAGCACAAATCTCAATCCGAGCATAGTATGTCATTATCTCAGCGTCTCACAGTCCTTTCACAGTAAATCGGTCCTAGCAAAGTATTTTACTAGCTTCACATGTCACAGTCCTAGCACAGTATTTAATTGGCATACAACTCACAGTCCTAGCCTATATTTCATTGGCACACAGCTCATAGTCCTAGTGTGCTAGCGGGAAGAAAAAGAAGGAAAAACACAGAAGTAGGGGAGAGAAAGGAAAACTGTGATTAGGATAAACATGTAATAGTTCCCAGCTAAACAGCAAAAACAGGAAAGTAAAGAACATACAGGGATTCTTCTGCGCAGGGATCCCCTAATATTTCACTAAGACCCAGACAAAGAATATCTGTATCCTGAGTTACATGACGACAACCTAGCTGCATGGGTACATACACCTAGATGAACCTTGTGCACGGACTACAGACCCTAAATTAAATCAAGCAAATGAATTGTAATCACTACATTAAACAACTGTTTATTTTACTGAACTGAACAAAAAAATTAACGTATACTTCACAAATAATACATTAACAACATCCAACGTGCTCGACTAGAATCTAGAGTGCTAATCATCTCCAGTTAAAAAGGAAATATGATAATCATACCATACGCTCGGCGAGATTACCTCAACAATGGCAAAGACCAAAACATTTTTAACATGTACGTTAAGTTTCGATATACCACCATACTAGCAAAACACTTATATAGACCTGCCATCAAACTATTTCCTAGCAAGGATACACAATGGAAATCAATTCTAACACCACCTTAACAAATAGAACGTACCATTATCGCGATCACGAGCCAGCCTAGCGTCGCTCAGCCGGTCCGATCTGATACACCTGTGCGTTGAGACTAAGTGCAGTGAAACAACGGCAGACAGGGCGTTTGACCATACCGACCACAGAGCGATAGCCAAATAGGCTGCTAAAAAGTCCAAGTCCTTTTTGGGGAAAAAAGAAAAGCTCGACCACGTTCAGACTGCTGCTAGTTAGCCTAGGCTGCTAGCAGTCTCCGCCTATATTTGTGGTCTGGGTTATTTGCGTCACTTTCGTGTTGTGCCATTTCTAGGCTTGATACTTCCATCCGTATCAAACCACTCGCTCTGTTGTCACTGGTGCATGTCTTCCTTCTTCTTTCTTGGTGTTTCCTGTTTGTTCTGTCTCCCTTTGATCTGGCTAGGCGTATCTCGAAGGAAAGCGAGCTTCCATACCCAACGTCCTTTGGACCACCATTTATTGTTTTAGAATTTTGAGTATTTTAATTTTGCCAAAAAGTACTGAAAACAGTTTTTGAATTTGAATCGTTCCGAAATATGAAAATTTTCCGCGTGTGACCATAGTGGTCTTATAGTTGTCTTCCTGTAATATGAACGGGTTAGTCATGTAATGGATATGTGTGTGAGAGTTTATGTGGAGCCATAAGCGGGCCCAGTCGTCATTTGTTATTATGTGATCGGGTTGTGTTGACAGCTAAGCTCCGGTGTACGTAAATACCATATAACCAGAGCATCCAGCTCACGCTTTGAGATCCAAATGTTCGGCGATGAGAATTGCTGTGGCATGTTGGGTAACGAACTCAAGTGCTCTCTGTGGGAATGGGTTGGGGGTTTAAACTCATAGTGCATCCGAAAAAGTTAGGGAAAGGTGAGGGGAGAGGGGGCAGGAGGCCATTCAGTCATTTCTCGTCGTTGCCGTCTTGCTGGATTCTAGCGTGGCCT